ATTATAAAAAATACAATGTATAATTTGTGTTTGTATAAAGCGAGAGAGACAGATTTGTATACAAATTTACCTGTATACAAAATACACTTACATATACATATACAAATTTATATTTAAATACATATAATACACATATACATATACGACTGACAATCACAACAAAAAACATATACTTATACAACTTATAGCAAGTCAGTTTCTTATCTGTATACATATTCCAAATATATACTATACAATTGGAATGAATACCGACATATACAAATTAATAGCTCCATAGCAAACATAAAATTTGATATGGAGCACAATTATGCAAACTATAGCTATAGCATATAGCATACAAATATGATTTTTATGTTTGCTAAACCTAAAATTTATTCTTAATTTTTTTAATAAAAAGTCTGTTATATTTCTTTTAGGTTAATTTGTGCTATTTCTTTGATCTATTAATTGCTAATTAATATTAGGCTATATGTTACCAATTATATATAATAGTTGTATGCTCGTGTCAATTTGTCTTAAAATACACTAACTAATTTCTGTGTACTGCATGCCCAAGTCCCAACAGCCCAATAGCTCATTAAAAAGGGAATGCCACAAGATTAAGCCCATTGCTCATTAAAAATGAAAAAAAGAGTGAGAGAAGATAATAAGTTTGAAAGTTAGATTCGCCCCCGGGAGGAATGGTAATGAGATGGACGTTGGGGATATTGGGTTCGTAGGGAGGAGATAATAAATTTGAAAATTATTTATGGAACTTGTTTTTTTTTTTTTTAAAATATTTTATAATGATTTTTGACCAATTAAACCTGAAAAAATTTAAAACATTTTAAAAAATCTTTTTCTTAATACCGAACACACTCAAGTGGTAAATTGTATTGGGTTTCACAAGTAAAACTTAAATAGACAATTACATGATATAACGATTTAAGTCCACTACTTGTTTATTTAGTAATATTTCAAACTTATTATAAAAGATAACTAGATTTTCGTTTTTCATTTTATTGAGATCTTTATATATGTATGGATGCATGTATGTATGTTTAATACATAATCGGTTTCTTAAATTTGTATTAATATAAGTTATATTTCAATTGAACACCTCACCTTCTAATAGAGTGTTCCAATTAAATTGTTTTGGTTTAATTTTGAAACTTTTTTGCGTGTGTTCTCATTTATCTATTAAGTAGTTATAACATTAACCACATAAAATATGTTATTTCCTGTAATTATATGCATTCACCTCAATAAGTCGTAAAACCCAATGCATTTCTACTTGAGGTTGATGCATGTAATCATAGAAGATGACATATTCCATGTAGTTAACTCAACTATCTAATAGACGATTGAAAACACACGCAATTTTTTCTTCGATATTTGAATATATCGAAAGTATTTAATTATTAGGAATTGGGTTGTTCAATTGTAACAAGACTTAGTTCAAGTGTCTAGATAAAAGGTTGACTATATATACTTAGATACGTATATAATCAACCTTTTATTTGATGATGTAAATATCACACGATTTTATATAATTATTTCTAATCCAATTTATTGTAAACAAGCATAAATCGAAGGTATATAACTAAACATAAATATATAGTTCACTCTATGGTTTGATGGTCTTGACCTTTCGTTGCTAGTTCGAACCTCGCTTGAAGATTTTAATATGCACTTTTTTTGAAAAAAAAAATACCATAAAGAAAACGCAATAATCAGAATTAGACTCAGGACACTTTGCTTGGGAAGGAGCTTAGTGATTAGTATTCGACCAATGTGTTAGGGTTTTCCCTGATTTTCTTACTTTATTTGAAATAATATTATGTTTTTATTACAAGTTTTTGTCATCTGATTTATCAATTACCATATGATATGCAATTGTAAGCTTCCGCATGACGCATTAATCTCTTTCGGACTCAACACAATGTACCAACTCAACTAATCATGTGTTTTGAGTGTGCACATTTACTTACATAATCCTTATTTAGGTATATACATATGAAGTTAACATGTGCACGTGTATCCACGCCCTCAAACGTGGATCTGCCTCTGTTCACATAGCTAGCCAATTATTGATGAATGAAAAGGAAAAAAAACAATAGTACTTTTATCTCTATTCTCTCTTTTTTTCTTTTCTTTTTTGTAATTGGCCGACAAGTATTATGGGATTAGTGAAATACTGAGTTGATACATGGAGTTATAAAGGGGAAGATGTGGACAAGTATGGTGGATGAGTGAGTGGATTCACTAGTAAAGAGGAAAAAAAAGGACTAAATTAATGCACCATTTGGCAAGAATAATATAGTAAACTTACTAGCTAGCTAGTCATTCATAATATTTTATGGACTCCACTAAGTTTTAATGGCTGCTCACTATTCAAGTGATGTGATCGAGTCAAATAACGTGAAGGATAGTTAATTGAATAACCTTTATTATAAAAATAAATAAATTATACATAGATTAAAAGTTTATAAACATATATATTAAATTTTGAGTGTACTAAACGAACTCGATCTTCACCACTGATTCTAAGCCTGAGCATATTGCATTTTTAAAAGTATGGATTAGGAATTTAATATTTGTCTACGTTTTATTCATTTTCCACACACAAAAATAGGCGCATGCCTAATTTGCTTAGTTAGGTACGTAAATTAGGATGAATTTCGAATTTCGTTCTCAAAGAAACTAAGTGCTATTAATCAAATCCAAGGGTGGAGAGAGCGTATAGCCCGAGACAGAAAATTATACTATTTATATATAGTTAAAACATACTTCCTCCATCCACTATTGAGTGTACTAAAAATAGTTGTTCAAAATTAATTGTTAATTTAAACAATCAAGAAATAATTAGTCATTTTTTTCCAATTCTGCCCTTAATAATTATATAACTACTAGTTTAAAAAAGTAGTCATTTTAAAGTTACAGACTACTTTAATGTGAAAAAAGTTGCTTTTACAGTTTTCAAAAAGTAAAAACCATTTTAATAATGATTGATAGTAGGGTTATATTAATCAAATTGCACCTTATTATATTAAATTTTTCTTAAGAATTGTGCATGATCTTACCCTGACAAACAATAGTGGACGGAGGGAGTATAGTAGATGTTGAATTTAACTGGTTGTATATTTACTTTTTCAGATTCTGAACGCTCTTAATGAAAATCCTAACTCCGCCACTATTATTAATCATATGGCATTATAAAAGCTTTTGTGAACCACTAACACTTCATGATGAAATCTAAAGAGATTTGTGTGGGGTGCAATGGTGAAAAAGAAAAAGGTAAAGCATTATATATAGTAGTGGTTTATGATGTAATGATTTGTTGAGTTCTTCTATTTAAGTCCACAATCTATGGGCTAGCTTACCACTAGCTTTGTCTCAAGAGCCTATTGAATAAAATTAAAGCAAATAACACTATTTAGTTTCAAGAGTACCCTTCTTGAAACTTATAGATTATTAAGTGAGAAAAAAAATGCAGTGGGATGAAGCAATCCATGGGTCTTAAGAAAAGATAGGCAAGTTGGAATGAAGGAGGACTTTTAAATGCCCTCCTCTATTATGTTGCTCGGATTTGTTCAAAAATGTCGATAGATGCATGTTGGATTCTCCAAAATCAATGTGATTATGACAACATTTCTGGAGAGTCCGAGCAACATAACTGCTCCATATACAATTTCAAGTTTGCTCATACTTGAGCCAAATTCTGTGTGGATATATGATGATAAAAATAGCAAAGGATGTTGGCAAAAGGATGGCAAACCGGCAAGTCACAAAACGGCAATTATGGACTCCGTTTTGGAGTCTTTCTTGGCTTTCAACTTAATGTTGTACCCTATAAATATATTATTATATTATCCACTCTTGTGTAATATTTGTGTTTTATTTGTAAGGTGTCACATGCAAGTGTGTATGTTCTAATTGATTCTAATGGATTTTGGTAAGATTGTTGTACATTCCTTCTCTAGTCCTATGTTGGAATATATATATTGTGTTTGTGCACCCTCGGAACGTGGTCTAGTAATTAATAATGAAGTGAAATGAAAGAAGAATTGTGAAATTTCAATTTTAAATTTAGTAGAGATAAAATATAGTGATTTCTTCTTTAAGAAACGGCACCATAGGGATGTCTTTTTCCTAATAAGTCCACTACAAGTGTTATTATATATTAATATGAAAGTGATGTAAAAACTCATAAACTTTAAAATCTCAATTCATATGTGTACATTAAAATCCACTTGTATGATCATAACTTGAATATCATTTTGGATGGTTGTTACCTGTTGTGCTGTATTGTTAGTTTATATATTGTGTTTATGTTTTGATTGTTACTTAAATTTTATTGTATTATATCACATCGTTTAAATTCATCGTTAGATAATGAAAAAAAAGTCTCAATTTTGTGTAACAACCGATTTGTGTGATCGCGTCATTACTTTAATACTCTCTTCTAATTTTGTCTTACTTATTGTTAATAATCTTATTTTATCATTACTCTACTTTATAATAGTAGCTCTACCATGTACCCTATTTTTCTTGTAGGTTTATCTTTCGAATTGTGAAGCGCAACATTATGTAACAACAGAGAACGATACAATCTATCCAAATATTATATTCATTAAAGTAATACGGTATAGTACACCATACTACAATACAAATTATGAAATAGTATGTACCAACCGTCCAAACAGAGTGGTAATGAGATATCCGTTCAGAGTTAATCAGAATTTGAAGAACAAGATATGCTAAAGCTGTATAAATATGTAGGAATTAGGGAACATGAGTTGCTCAATGATCAAACTTGGAAAAGGTCTAGCAAGTGTGTTCTAGAAAACATTTTTCTAGAGTCGAGGATCTATTAGAAACAACCTCTCTACGCCCCACCAAGATAGGGATAAAATCTACATACACCTCTGGATTTAGTACTTCATTTGGAGACCTATAAACACATCAATGTAATAGCAGCACACTATACTCCATATTGTCCAATATCACAGAAAAGATGGTATTGTAAAATCAGGAGGCTTTATCATTTTTTTACTTTCCTCAATAGCAAAGGTTGTACAAATTTTACAGATCAACTTCCACCCAACTCCAAGACTGATCTAATACACAAGAATCTCCATATCGCTACCGTATTTTTTTTTATATTGACAAGTACCAAAAAACACAAAAGAATGACCAAAAAGAAAAAGTCTAGTTCAAGTTCAGTTCTTCCAAGAGCCTTTTCTGCTTTTCAGGAGAGATGCATATAACAACTCGTTCCAAGTGTCCGGTACACCTGGTAGGCACCAATGACTGCAATCCTGAGAGTGTACTCCAGCCATTTGTTTTTCTACTGTCTTGTACTCCTTTCTGTATATCGACGGGTGACCATCTTTCCGGTAGTCTGTAAGCCTACTAATGTTCATATAAATGACAGGGGTCGTCATGTTATGAAGGACGTGATGTAGGACTTTCATCTTTGAAGGATATTTTGCCAAATAAGCCTTCTTGAATATTGGTTCGGTTTCTTTATGGCACTGCCCGCCTGAGTTCCATGGACCTCCCCTTCATAAAAAGATAAGTTTGATTGCCGTTCCTCAATAGTGCCCAAAGGAGCAAGAGACAAATTTACTAACAGGGATGATCAAAACCCAAGATTATTTTAACATAAACCATAGCATTGCTAGTTTCTCTACGAGACAACATTATCACAGAGTACATGTAATGAAATAAAAGAATTTCCAAAAAATGTGATAGCTTATCTACTTTTGAAGGAATCAACATATATCACGACTAGTTGATAATTAAAGTGATTACTCTTCTGTATATTGATCAGGTTGTGTGAACACCTGGTTAACAGATTGTATTTAAAGGACAGCAAGTTTGCAGTGAGCAACCAACTTGACCATCTCACTAAACAGCATATACCTTTATACATCCACACAACAAGCCTACCAGACAACAGGAGTACATTCATTTTTAGAGATAACCTTCCCAGAGGTTTCCATTCCGCCCAAAAGGCAAGCCTGTCATTCAAATGAGTTTTGTGTATTAAGTTTATGTCTGAACATAAAGTAGGAGCTACGCTGCACCATAGTTGTATACGATCCATGTTATATCTGAAAATGATTAGGAGATCCCATAGATTGGTCACTGCAGTTACATCTTCCAAATTTACAGTCTTACGCCATAGAACTAGATAACCTGAACATTCAACTAATGATTAACCTACAATGCTACAACTAATTAGCAGTAAAATTACTATATTTTCCTATTTATATGATAATCCAAGACTAAAGGTTCTTTAAATCTCACACTTATACATACAAATCACTACCCAAACTACAAAGACCCGTGCAAAGAACAAAATCTAAAACAGCCACATTTATCCCAACGAGAACTAGCTAGTATCGCCTTATATGGATCCTTAGCTTGCATGGAATTCTGTTCTTTGCTAAAGTTCACATTGATACTAGTCTTTAGCCTCCGAACTTAAGGTGGTTCTGTTAAATGCTACACAGCATTTTCGTCCTTCATATATGGCGAATATTGTGCTGACCAGTAGCCTGGCAACTTCCCTAGTTCCACCCTAATGTTCACATGTACCGTCAATGAAGGACTAAATACATAGTTAATAGCACACAAGGGTTTCATCCGAACCCTCTTTGTTGGAAAATTACAATGTATATACAAAGTCAAAATTATTAAAATTACTTTGTTTCATATATATAGTAGATGTTGAATCCTCTTAGTAAAAATCCTGGATCTACCACCGAATACATGGCAGCAGCTCATAACTGAGACACATCGATCAATCCAAGCCCAAAATGCCAGTGAAGTATACAGCCCCTGGCACTTGGGGAAAAGGATTACAATTTAACTTATTCATTCTCACTTCCTAATAAGAGATTCCTTAAGAACACCTCAATACCAAAGAAACACAACATGTAAGTCACGAGAAGAGTTCCTGAATCATGATATCCCCATTAGAGTTGTAGCTAAATTAACATGTAACAAAGAATTGTACCTGAAGTGTGTGACTGAATATCCTCTAAAAATAACTTGAGTTCTGCTTCCACCAAAGTTCTGATCCACCCACCTTGCCCAAGTGGAAATCGCTCTCTTGTATGCCTCTAAAACCTTGAGCCTTCCATGCACATGATTACCTTCCTGGTAGTAGTCTTCCCTATAATCAACCAGGAGCACAAGTTTATAAATTTCAACTAACAATGACATGCAAGATCCAGCTTTTAGTGAAAGAAGTAAAGTGCCTAACCCTCTGGAGGTTTTCTCATGAGTCCACCAATGACCAGTGTTGAAAATTACAATATCAGCATCACTATACATTGAAGTCGTCTTGTCCATCAAATCTAATCTTAGCGTCTCAAAAGAACCATTTTTCCCTTTAAAAGTTGATTGTCTGACAAGAAACGGGGAACTAACAAAATCCACAGAACAGTTATAATCCTGCAACCAAGTCACAGCATGATAAATAACAAGGAAATTAGCAATTCTCAGGTCACAGAAGAAAGAGATTAAATAGCTTGCCTCAAATCTGAATGCATAGAAGCCCTTCTTTTTGAATTCATGCCTTCCTGATATCTCATAAACTCGCTTTTTGTCTCGAATACTGTGGCGAAGAATGCAAACAAGGGACTCCCACATGTTCCTATTCAATGAGTCCCCCACAAAAACAAGCTTTTGCCCTCTCAACCTCTCCAGAAAATCAGTTGCATTGAGGCTAGTGTGTGAGATGTAAATCAGTTAAATTGACCAATATAACTAAATATGCAACATAGACTATGTAAATCAAAAAAAATTCATTGGCAATGCAAATAGTGTCAGTAAAGAAACACATTTAAAACGACTGGCATTACAGCATTTTACAAAGGCATCTGCTTGCATTTCATAGGTGTGCACTCAAACTTCACACAAGATATAGTCAAAAACTAACACCCTAAGAAACTTACAACCAATTGCAACATACTGGATCAACTGATTAGAAAATACATCGTACTTTTTGGAGTAGCATCGGAATATAGATTTCTATGTTCTGTCTTACAAGGTAGTTCCACAACATTTGTTCTTTAAGTTCAATCCAAAAGTCAACATTGTAATATCACTTTATGCATTGAGGGTGTTACCAAAGACTAAATTGTAATTCATAGTCAAATTTCAAATATTGTGACTAGGAGCTTTAGTACTCGTACCTCGGTATGTCACATGCATATGGCTGCCATCTCCACTTGATATACTCATCATCTGGCCTCTTATTAAGGTGACAATCAAAATCTCTATCAATAATAGGGCAAGAACCCGGAGGATAATATGGCTTCGTGTCATCTCTAACCCATTCACCATCATATACATCACAATCCCCATAAAAATCCTTGTCACGTCTAATCAATAATTCTCCATCACTTTGAAACAACACACCATTCTTCTCCACAGATAAACCCCCTTTACCCTCACCCACTGCAACTTTTTTCCTATCACCACCACTTGATCTCACAACATCCTTAATATAAGTTGAGGTCACATTATACTTGGTGGAATCTAGGATACCCAAAACAGTTCCATTCCCATCAATTTCTGACCCATGGGTTTTCTTGACAATTCCTGATTCTTGAACAAGAAAGCTTTCATTTTTTACATTTTCAGAGAAATTGAGGACGTGGGTATTTCCTAAAATTTCCCCCTTTTCCCCCAAATTGGAAAATATTCCACTTTCATCAATTTTCTTGGTTTCTTGAACACTAAAGTTTCCATTTTCCACATTGTGTGAAGCTTTGGAACTCAAACTAACACTAGCATTAGAGAAAGAGAAAGGCCAAGAAATGAGCGTACTATTACTATTATTATTATCACTGTAACTAAAACCAGTAAAAACAGGGGTTACAAATGGAGATTTGAATGAATAATTCAACAATAGAATACAAACAAAAATGAAAGAAGCAGCAACACCCAAACCAAAGCCAGAAACAACTACCTTTCTTCTTGGAGAAGAATCAGAAAATGGAAGTTTCTTCAAGTCCATTCTAAATCTCAAAACCCCATCAATTGAAAACAAAAAAAAACAATGATTTTCTCTGTACTATACACCAATTTTTTAGTACAATATATGAACAAATTCTTTTGGCAATTACAATGGATATTCTTGAGAGATTTCGAAAAAGGCGAAAAAAAGAAGACAAAAGAAGTACTAGTTTTTTTTTGTAGAAAGAAGTGTAGCAGTGTGTTGAAGATCTCTTTAAGTTAACCGACACATTCTCTTTGACTTATGGGGGTTTGAATTAGATTTATTTACTATATACTCGTTCGTATATACTATCTAATCTATTTTATTTTGAGATATTGCTTTTTTTAAAAGATATAATTTGATTTGTATATTTTAGGTAAATTAGTTAAGTTATCAATTTTATTACTCTCTTTATTTTATATATTACTGAATTTTTAAAATATTTTTATTGTTCAAAATAATAATTAAATTCTTCAAAATTCAAGATGAATGTTTGATATTCTTTTATATTTATCTTTTCATTTATTAAAGTTTTATATTTTTTAGGAGATATATTATACTACTTATAAATTTATAATTTTATGATTTATTTTTTCTTAATATGTATGTATTGCCTCATAAATTCAATTAACAATAGAGGGAGTAGTTTATAAAAATTAAAGGTACAAAATCATATCCTCTAAAAAAAAAATTACCTTCAAGGAAAAAATTTGGAGAAACAACAACTTTAAAGGAAGGATACACCCTCGTTCTATTTTATATGGTATTGTTTGACTTTGTACGGTACTTTAGAAAAAAATTTGACTTTTAAAACATATAGTATAAAATAATTTATATATGTATGATTGTAAATTATCTTATTAAGGACAAAATAATTATAAAATTAAATTATTTCAACTTATAATAAAGTGATTTTTTTTAAACATACTGAAGAAAAAAAGTGTCACATCAAATAAGACGAAAGATGTATTTGATTTTCATGGCTAACGCCACATATTTGCCAAAACTTTTCACAGGTTTCTTATTTAAGGGCATGTCATATCAAACAATTACAATAAAAAATATTATAATCAAATTAATTTTTTTAAAAAAATTATTATTCAAGTTTAAAATAGTAATTAAAGATAAAATTGTGTTTGAATATGAAATAAAATTAAAATTATATGAGTAAAATTTGGAAGGTTTCTAAAATTTAATTTCAAACTTTGAAACTAAATCATTATAAAATATATTTGAATTTTGGAGATTTTCCCTTTTAACTAAATGATTGTTTTGCATTATGTTATGTAAAACGCATCCACCAATACTATCTTATTTTACACACGAAAAATGGTTATTTAAGGAACTTCGATCATTACCAAAAGGAAATTAATTGGAGGAAAATAAATGTTCAGGAAAAAAGGCAAAGTATGATAAGGTATATTTGGTACGTACGACGAAATAAGTAAGGATATTTTATGGAATTATAAGTTTTCTATATTTTATGTGAGATAGTACCATCATTTTAATATATATGATCGGATGAAATAATCTCGAAATAAACTAATATTTTAAACAAATTATGAAAAAATTAAGTATAAATATTATTTTAAAATTATTATTGTAATCTCACGTATCAAACCCAACGACCTCTTAAAGTGGTTTGGGCTTTGGTCTTGAAAGGGCAAACTGAGGGTCGTTTGTTTCTGCGACGAAATATTCTAGGATTAAAATTGAAATTAAATTTATACTTTATTTGATTAGGTATGAATTAAATCCTTAACAAATTTATACTTTCAATAAAATAAAGTACAAATTTAGTTCCAATTTTAATTTTGAATGTTTTACTTTATTCCAACCAACTTGATATTATTATATCTCATTTCTTCAAATGATATAAAAATAGGAACGAAGTAACTCGACCAAGAGAAGAGGAACGAAGAATGAAATTTTATGACAGCAACACAATAAAGACAAATTTTATGAGGCTTCTCAAAAAACTATAATTTTGAAATAACTATGTTTATAACTTTGTGTAGAGATAAAGACACTTCTTTGAACCATATAAGTTAACAATTATAACAAAACAAAAAAAAGGCAAACACAACTGGAACAGTATCAGTTTGTTCTTTATTTTGGGGGGGATTAGTGTTATAGAATAGCAATATTAGGCTCGTTGTAATTTCATTGGAGCCAACTATTGTTAAAAAAAAAAATCATTCGCTTTTTCCTTCGCGTGTTAAAAGTAATAAGTAAATATTAAGGATAAATTTTGTTACTAATGGCCAAAAAGAAAAAAAATCAAAATTAATTTCTGTAATATCAAACAAACAAAACTTAAAAAAGGAAATAATTTGAGATAACTATTTTTATTTTATAAATAAATTTTCTTCCGTCTCTATTTACTTGACAAATATTTACTAATTTGATTTCCCTTTTTATTTGTCATTTTTGATAAATCAAGGAAGACAATTTTTTTTCTTCCTATTATACTCCAATTTATTAACATTGAGTTAATGTCTTTGAAAAATATAGTGAATAAATATGTTTAAAACTCTATCAATTAATAGGGATAAAATGGAAAACTCACTATACAAGTATATCAAGTCAAATTTTGACAGATAAAAAAGGACGAAGAGGGTAATATGAATATTTGGAAGGCTAAATTCAAAAGTGACCCCTCATATTTACCAAAACTTTTCATTTAGGCTCCTAATCCGAAGGCATGTCTTATTAAACACCTAATAAATATTATAATATAATTCAATTGAAATTTTAAAAAATATTTAAAATTCAAGTTCAAAAATTATATTTCTAACCTAGAATTGGGTTTGGATATGAAAATAAAGTTAAGGTTATACGAGTAGATTTGGAAAATTTTATAAAATTTAATATTTACTTTTCAAACTTCGAATACTATATATCAAGTTAAATGAAACTAAATTGTTTTAAAAATCAAATTCATAGTCATTTTAATATGACGAAATTTATAATAATATTTCATTAAAAAAATAATATGAGACAGTTTTCTAATAGAAATCTTTGACTTTCTGCATTTTAATTTCTTGTTGGGATGTCGAAAATTGGAGAAGAAAATCTCATAAGCTTTCCCTTCAGCATGTGCTTCCCTGATTTGGATCTCCAAATCTAATAAATGCCATTGATTGAACTACGTGAAATTGAACAAAAAATTCATAATTTGTTTAAAGGGTTAAAATATTTTTTCCCGTATTATTAATTTAAGATATTTTTATTTAATTTTGCATAATCCAAAGAATAATTTTGACTTAAGAACTTTTTTTAATCTTAAAATTTTAAATTTTAATATAAGATAATATATAATGTATCAAATATCTTTTGAATGTATGATCTTAAATATAGTAGAATAAAATATTACCAAATATAAAAGTAACATTTTTTTCAAAAAATAGATTAAAAAGGTAAAAATATATTGTTACCTTTTGGGTTCTTTGACGTTTAGAAGATTTTCCTTCATTTCTTCTTTCAAAATCCAAGTAATTATTTTGGAACTTTTTTCATTTACTAATGTGAAACTTACATCAATATACTATATTAAGAAAATATTTATCATTTATAGTAATAATATTTTTTTCACTTGATCACTTTCAATATACTCCCTCCGTTCCATTTTATGTGGCAACATTTGACCGGGCACGGAGTTTAAGAAATAAATGAAGACTTTGAAATGTTTACCAAATTGCCCTTTAAAAAGTAGACTCTTTTTTCTCTCTCCTCATAAATGTATTGGAGTATTATTTTAAAATTAAGTGGGACCAACAAGGATAAAAGAGGAATTGTACCTTTATAAACTTACCATATAAGGAAATGTGACATTCTTTTTGGGACTGATCAAAAAGAAAATTGTGCCACATAAAATGGGACGGAGGGAGTATTTATAATACAATTTTAATACATATTACACAGAACAATTTATAAAACACATATAATACAAGTTTTTATTGGTGGATAATACATTTATCTTACATTTTATCACACATTTTAATACAATGTGTCAATTTCTTACCAAACAAGCATAATATATTTTAAAACACTTATAATACATATATACTGTATACATAATTACTTTTACGTATAATATTATTTAGTACTATCTTTGGTAGGAATTCAGGCCTATGTATAACTAATTCATGAATTAGTTGTACATCCTACATGGTATTATAGAATGTATTACTAAAATACCTTGCATTTGGAGGTATTAGTAATACATAGGATATAACCATGAGATAAGTTTGCGTAAAGACAAAAATTTCCCTCAAATCATTTTAATTATTTTGTTTATTTTCTTGATTTAATGTTTTATATTTGTACTAGTAAATTTATTTAGATAAGTTTGCGTAAAGACAAAAATATCCCTCAAATCATTTTAATTATTTTGTTTATTTTCTTGATTTAATGTTTTATATTTGTACTAGTAAATTTATTTAGATAAGTTTGCGTAAAAACAAAAATATCCCTCAAATCATTTTAATTATTTTGTTTATTTTCTTGATTTAATGTTTTATATTTGTACTAGTAAATTTATTTAGATAAATTAGCTTACAAATTATTTAGAGAGAGTTTTTTGTTACTAAATAAATACAATACAAATTTGAATGTGAGTTATGAAAGTATTCGACCTAATTCCCCCCTCCTTGTTGTCTTCACTGTTAAGGAGGGATTTGGACCATCGAAAAACACAGAATTCTTCATCGAGAAATAAGGGTCTTGGATAGCTAAAAGAGCATTTCAAGTTTAAGAATTTTTTAGAGGAAAACGTCCTCTTCTTTTGTTGTTTTTGAGCCGTTGGTTCATCGGAGTTCACCATATCTCATTTTCTGGAGGTGAGAAGTCTTCACCAGGGCTCATCTTCTAGTGGTGAGAACTCTTCAAGCTCGTTGTTTAGGTTTGTTGCACAAAAAGAGGTAAAATCCTTCTTTCTTCAGTATTTCGATTTACATATACGTAGAAATTTGTTTAAGAGTTTTGTTTCTTTATTAGATGCATCTGGTCTTCCTTTAAGTGTTATCGATGTAGGTTAAACATATGTATTACTTATGTTGGTAC